GTAATTCCCTTTCTTAGAGTAGAAACCACAAACCAATTTTGCTTTACAGAAATGTGCTCCCATACAAATTTTTTAATACACGTTTTAAAGACTGGCTCAGTTTTGCCGTGAAGTTACATCTGAGAAAAGTGATGCCATCTAGGAAATGTGTTTTACATACAGGGCCATACATGTTTTAGATGCTTACCAAGAAATGACTATGAATATCATTAATCCAAATGACCTCACAGTTTTCATTTTTACATCACTAGTTCAATTAAGAAATAATGTTCAATAATATCATTGCAGATGTATTACATTTCTGATCCTACCTAGATCCAGGATGTAGGCATTACCTGATTTTTTTGGATTTCTCTTTAATTCTTTAACAGTTGCAATGTTTTCTTTGCAAGTGCATTATGGGTAATTTATGTTGTTTTGACTGTTTCTTTGATGTAATTTGCAATTCTGCACCCAGAGTTGTAATATACTACAGTTTAGATAAATGGCACAGAAATACAGAGGTTATCTATGTAAAATGATTCATATTTCAAAATAGGGACTTCTGTAAAATGAAAAAAGTATACATTGCTATTAATCACAATTTTTATATTACTTTTTTCCCCTCAACTGAGATTTGTTGCATTTACTATTGTAACATATTTCCAAAACACATTAGTTAAATGGAGCTGAAAATCATGCATGCATATTTTATGGAGAAAATGTGCAGATATATTTTCAATTTTAAGCTATAAACTATGGTTTTTCTTGGATGATTAAAATATTCTGGCCCATTTAAAATGAGCTACATAATAAAAGTGATGTGCAATAATAATTTTACAATGCTTAATAATACAAAGTGCTTTATCTGAAAAAATGCCTTTTAAAAGGTTTTATGCATAATTCAAGCACTTCTGCTCTGTGTAAAAAGCAAGTGAGTGATCTGCAAGTGGAATTAGAAATTGAAAAGAATTGAAAAAATAATTAAAAAACCAGACTTGGAATTTTCTGCCTCTGTTTGCTGGAATCAGGAAGCAGGGACATGCGAAAAGCTTTTATGTTGACAACCAAGGCAAGTAGGGCAGAGTGACACAGTAGAAAACATTAGATCCAAACTTTCTCTAATGCAGGTTTTCTGGCTTAAAAAGGTGGGTACAAAGGGTTATTGAAGTTTATTGAATGTGTTTCTTATTGTCAATTCATGGCACTGAGGAGCGTTTGCCCTTGCTCACACAAGAGAGGAGCTTTTAGATCTTCAACCAGACAGCTGCCAGTGCTACCTTTAACATGCAAAGCAGCCCAGGGAGTCTGCGTGCTTCGAGTCACCATCAAAGCGGAGGAGCTGGGAAAAGATGCACACATCCTCCCGACACCGACCCTGAGCATCCCTGGTGAAGAGGTGAGAGGGCTGTTAGGTGTTTATTAATGAAGCCTGGGCTATTGCCATTTAGAATGGTCCAGAAGATGAAACAATTTGGAAGGAAACTTCCAGTATGAAAAGAGGTGTGGAAAATCAGCTCCCATAGGAACAGATTAATTACTAACTCAAAAGAAAACCATGACCCACAATATTTTTTTAAACGTGAAGGCATGGTAAAATAATGGTGGATTAAAAAATTACATATTTAACTAATGACTAGATGGTCAAATATAATAAAATTCCAAAATATCCCAATTGTTTCAGTAAGAAAATCTGATATATAGGTTTTATCTTCCCATCACCATAATTCTGTTTGGGTGAATTTTTGTTTGCCCTTGATGAAGGTTTTGGTTGTATTGCTTTGGATTGGGCAGTCCTAAATCTTTTGTTTTGACTCAACTTTTCATGACCTAATTTCTAAAAGGACACAGTTATAAATTTGGGCTTTTCAAAGATTTTTTCTTTAATATTGTAATTTTAAAGAGGTGTAAATAAAGCATGAGTCTGCTGAACATGGTCTAGATACAATCTCATTTGGAAGCAAGAGTTTTCTCTGTGTGTGTGTGTGGGGGGGGCGGGGGGGGGAGCTTACTTCAATAGAGCCATAGAAAATTTGGACAGAGCTTTGCAAATGCCATCCAAAACCTTGCTTACAAGAAAAGTTGGTTGCTCTTGTTTCTATGGCCTTATTCTTGTTGATGCTGTTTAGTCACGAAGACTCTTTGTGACGCTGTGGACTGCAGCATGCCAGGCTTCCCTGTCCTTCACTATCTTCCGGAGTTTACTCAAACTCATGTCCAGTGAGTCAGTGATGCCATCCAACCATCTCATCCTCTTTCATCCCCTTCTCCTCCTGCCTTCAATCTTTCCCAGCATCACGGTCTTTTCCAATGAGTCAGCTCTTTGCATCAGGTGGCCAAAGTATTGGAGCTTCAGCTTCAGCATCAGTCCTTCCAGTGAACACCCAGGACTGATCTCCTTTAGGATGGACTGGCTGGATCTCCTTGCAGTCCAAGGGACTCTCAAGAGTCTTCTCCAACACCATAATTTGAAAGCATTGATCCTTTGGTGCTTAGCCTTCTTTATGGTCCAACTCACATCTCTACATGACTACTGGAAAAACCATAGCTTTGACTATACATCACTTTGTCTTTGCTTTTTAATATGCGGTCTAGGTTTGTAATAGCTTTTCTTCCAAGGTGTAAGTGTCTTAGCTTTGTTGCTGGAAAAGGAATGACAGACCATTTTAGTATTCTTGCACTGAGAACCCCACGAACAAATGGTATGAAAATGGCTTTTATTCTATTCCTGCTCTAAGAGTTTTAATGGTACCCATGTCCTAATGCATCAAGTTTAATTTTCCCAACACTGTTGGTGGGTGGGAGAGCTTTAGGTAAAAAGGGAGAGGAAAGGGATATATAGATACACCTCTCTTTCCCTCCACACTTTCCATCCTTTTGGATTTGGCCTTCTTGTTGACAACTTTGTATTAAGCAGTCTTCAATCATCACTTCTTTGAGTCCAGTTATGACATTCTCTACAGCTCTCAACATAAGACAGAGTAAACAGTGGCTCTCAACAAAGCTAGCAGAGGTGATGGAATTCCAGTTGAGCTATTTCAAATCCTAAAAGATGATGTTGTGAAAGTGCTGCACTCAATATATCAGCAAATTTGGAAAACTCAGCAGTGGCCAGAGGACTGGAAAAGGTCAGTTTTCATTCCAGTCCCTAAGAAAGGCAATGCCAAAGAATGCTCAAACTACCACACAATTGTACTCATCTCACACGCTAGTAAAGTAATGCTCAAAATTCTCCAAGCCAGGCTTCAGCAATACATGAACTGTGAACTTCCAGATGTTCAAGCTAGTTTTAGAAAAGGCAGAGGAACCAGAGATCAAATTGCCAACATCCCATGGATCATCAAAAAAGCAAGAGAGTTCCAGAAAAACATCTACTTCTGCTTTATTGACTATGCCAAAGTCTTTTTTTCTGTGTGGATCACAATAAACTGTGGAAAATTCTGAAAGACATAGGAATACCAGACCACTTGACCTACCTCTTGAGAAATCTGTATGCAGGTCAGGAAGCAACAGTTAGAACTGGACATGGAACAACAGACTGGTTCCAAATAGGAAAAGGAGTCCGTCAAGTTTGTATATTGTCACCCTGCTTATTTAACTTATATGCAGAGTACATCATGAGAAACGCTGGGCTGGAAGAAGCACAAGCTGGAATCAAGATTGCCGGGAGAAATATCAATAACCTCAGATATGCAGATGATACCACACTTATGGCAGAAAGTGAAGAGGAACTAAAGAACCTTTGATGAAAGTGTAAGAGGAGAGTGAAAAAATTGGCTTTAAGCTCAACATTCAGAAAACTAAGAACATGGCATCTGGTCCTATCACTTCATGGCAAATAGATGGGGAAACAGTGCAAACAGTGGCTGACTTTATTTTTCTGGGCTCCAAAATCACTGCAGATGAGTGCAGCCATGAAATTAAAAGATGCTTACTCCTTGGAAGGAAAGTTATGACCAACCTAGACAGCATATTAAAAAGCAGAGACATTACTTTGTCAACAAAGGTCCATCTAGTCAAGGCTATGGTTTTTCCAGTGGTCATGTATGGATGTGAGAGTTGGACTATAAAGACAGCTGAGTGCAGAAGAATTGATGCTTTTGAGCTGTGGTATTGGAGAAGACTCTTGAGGGTGCCTTGGACTGCAAGGAGATCCAACCAGTCCATCCTAAAGGAGATCAGTCCTGGGTGTTCATTGGAAGGACTGATGCTGAAGCTGAAACTCCAATACTTTGGCCACCTCATGTGAAGAGCTGACTCATTTGAAAAGACCCTGATACTGGGAAAGATTGAGGGCAGGAGGAGAAGGGGATGATGGAGGATGAGATGGTTGGATGGCATCACCGACTTGATGGACATGAGTTTGGGTAAACTCCGGGAGTTGGTGATGGACAGGGAGGCCTGGCGTGCTGCAGTTCATGGGGTCACAAAGAGTCGGACACAACTGAGCAACTGTACTGAACTGAACTCAATAAATATTTGATGATCACTTTACCTTAGAGAAAACAGCATTGTCCATATCTGATATAACCTAAATAGACAAGGAGTTTTTGTTGTATTGGAGTGTCAACAACAGCAACAACCCCCTCCCCCAGTGGAGAAGGCTGCAAATAAGAAAAGAGCTTTATCTGCAATCTTAAGAACTGTAATTCTGGAGACACAGATTTAGGGAAAAATGAAAGCACTCTGGGGAAGAGAAAGAGTCAGAGGCTTACAAAGCCAAAGCCCCTGAGACTGTACTCTGACACAGGGAAGGAAATATTTGTCCTTAAGTGTTGGCTGCCATGAGTTGTGTCAGGGTAAGGATGCAGTAAACTGGCTGTCACGAGCTATTTTAGAGTCAAGGTCTGATGTGTATCTTGAGTCTATGGAACACTGGGTAGATGTCCCAGTTGCCAGTGATGAGATGATGTGGCCTAAAGGCCAGATTCCAGATAACTGGGCACCTGGGTTCCTAGGCTCCAACATACCTCCCACCAGACAAGTGAGCCTGCTTTCTGGCTTTGGACCCCCAGCCTCACCTCTCCTCTGAATGGACTCCAACTGCTCCTGCTCCACTGGCAACTCCTGCGGCTGTGAAACCTGCAGACACACCTCCCGCAGGAAGAGCTGCCGCTCCTGATGGCCCCTGGCCCTGCTGACTGTGCCCAGGATGCGTCTGGCAAGGGGCAGCCGACAAGGGCTGGGGCTGAGCCTGATGTCAGGGAGAGCCTGTCCCGGGTGTTAACAGAGCAACCAGGACAAGCCTGCATTTTGTTATTTTTCATACAACCTGACCTGATGCCCTGTTCTTTTTTTCTATGAGATATGTGATTTGCAGTATAAGCTGTTGATTAAAAAAAAAAAAAAAGGTGAGATACCATCCAGTTGAGATGTGTACATTCACACTTTCTCAGTAGCCTCTCAACTCCATTTTAGAGAGCTCTCTTAGCAATACTGATTCCATTTTGACTTTTACAGGAGTAATATTTAAAAACTGTCCAAAACAGCTTGAATAGTCAAAATATATTTTAACGTAGGTTGTCTTGGTCCGCCCTTTGATAAATTAACACCGAGAGACATTTTAGTTGAGGACCACTTGATTTCCTCTACCCTATATGTACAACACTCAGTTTTGAAATGACAAGACTTTCTGGAATGCTTAGCTAAGCATTTAAATCAACTCTGAAAAATCACTTGTTTCATACTACCTTTTGCCATCTGCTGTCATTTATTTTGGTTTTATTTATTTATTTTTTACCCAGAGCAACTCCTTAGGAGAGCATTACGTGGATAGAAATAAATAATTGTTGGTCGATTGATTATGATTAGAGAGTGTGTGTTCTGAAGTTGGAAGTTGAAGCCAACATCACAGCTCTGAAGAGGGTGGATGAGGGGCTGGTTTGATAGAGGAAGACCCCAATCCTCAGCTGAGAGGGCCAAGTGAGATGCCTGGAGGTCTTTGCCTCCTCTTGATTCCTCATCTACATAAATTACTTTGGAACTGACTGTAAACGAGTTAAATGGTTGGCTGGTGACAAAAAGATGAAGAAAATAATGAATGCATACTAGGTGACACAAAAGATTTAGAGGGATTTGTATCAGCTTTGTAACCAGACTGTCACGTGGGAAATAAAATTTATTGTTGCTAAACATTGAACATTACTCCTGAGGACTAAAGTAATGAACACAAGTAAAAATAAATAGCATTGAACTAACTAGAGCAGCAAGACTTTCAAAAGAGCACTCGGGAGAGGAATGAAGGGTTTCTCTCTAACACTGTCTAGATAACATAAAGGCACAGTTCACCTATGCAATAGAATTAGGCTAATTACAACTGCCCAGATGACAGGTCAAAGTATTTAGTTATATCCAATTCATTTAGTTATAGCCAATCCATTGACACTTGCCTCCCAAATTCCAAAGAAAGCATCAATATTTGTTAAAATATACACATCAAGGTTTTATATCCCCAAGCTTTTGAAAACATAGCAAAAAATTAGAATACAGTTTGGGTATTATTAGAAAGGTTTTAATTCAGCATCTGTGTAGAGTGGTGAGTAAACCTTTTAGACCTTGAGCTATTGCTTTAGAAAACATGAATGACAATGAAAAATATTAGCTTAGGGATAGCCCCCACCTCCCCCAAGGAAAGCATCAGAAACTCTTATCACTTGAGACATTCAAAATGGGCATAAAGTATATCAAGCAAATTATTTTCTCACTGGTGTAATTCTTAGTAAACATAATGAAAGGAATTTATTTTCTCAATGTGTTTCTCCTCTCTCAGTTTACCATTAAGTACATCACAAATCAGTTTTGAACCCCACGGTAAACGTTTTTCAGTGCCCCCGCAAAGGCCCGTATAGTCATAAATATATTGTTTAGGGCAACGTTAGGTTTGCCACTTACCCAGGGACTGAGTCTCAAACTGTACCTCTCTTTAGGAATAATATTAGTTTGTTTGTTTTTAAATGCACTGGCCTCTCTTCATCAAGGTGCACTTCTGCGGGGTCCTGTGGGGCCCCTGGGCACAAAGCCTCCCTGCGTCCCTTGTTTTTTTGATTTTTGGAAACAGTCTTCTTTCAGTCTCCACGACCTTCCCTGAATCCCAATGGGCATATTCAAGCAGTTGCTAATTCGGGAAAGGAGGGAGACCAGGGAGAAACAGTCAAGAGAAACAATGGTGCAACTCTAGGGCAAGGTCCTGGTTCCCTATCAAAAAGTGTGTTTAGTTGCTAAGTCGCGTCCTATTCTTTGCAACCCTTTGGACTGTGGCCTGTCTGCCAGGCTCCTCTGTCCGTGGGATTTTCCAGGCAAGAATACTGGGGTGGGTTGCCATTTCCTTCTCCAGGGGATCTTCCCGACCCAGGGTCAAACTTGCATCTCCTGTGTCTCTTGCATTGCAGGCAGATTCTCCACCCACTGAGCCATCAGGGAAGCCGTTCCCTGTCAGTGGATACACACAACAACATCTTTGAGCTGTTTTGCAGCTGAACTACGGTATCTCTGAAACCCGCTACAGGTGGGAGAAGTTTACGGATTAAGGATGGTACTCTGCCCACAAGCGTTTAAGACCCCAGACCAGTAGGAACCTGAAGGTTGGTCATGCTGACTCCTACTTACCTCACCACCAATCCATCAGATGGACGTCCACAAGCTGATCACACCCTCTTTGCACCCTTACTGTAAAACTTCTTACTATCCTCTCCAAGTTGGGACACAGATTCTTCCAAGGTAGGAGTCGGCTGGGTCTCCCTTTACCGACTTTTGACCAGCCAATTAGCACCTCTAAGCCTTAGGTTCTTCATCTTCTTCTTCTTTTTTAATGTCTTCCCGCATTCAGGATTCTCTTTTGGAACTTTAGAAAATCTCACCACCAGGCATTATAGAATCCAAGAGATTAAAAAAAGAAAAGGCATGTACTGAGCAGTGCTGCCCCCTGGAGGTCTGAACTAGGGACAGAGTGGAAACCTTTTTCTTAAAGGGCCAGAGCGTAAATGTTTTAGACTTGGCAGGCTAAGAGGAAAAGCTGGGAGCAATATGTGGATATTTATGTAAAAAATGTAAAAACCGTTCTTGAGGGCGATACAAACACAGGTGATGGGCTAGATTTGTCCCTCTTCGCCCCGGTCCAGAGAAATAACATAAACAGCCCAAAGTGCAAGCTGTAATGAGGGATGTCTGTGGACAACTATTCATCTGCACGATTTTCTTCCTTGAGCCGACCACAGGTTTTAATTAAAACAGCCTTTCCTGCTTGTGTGAGAGCCCCGTGCCTCGCTGGGGAACAGGGAGGCCTCGCTGGGCTGTCTTTTCATCCTGCTCTCTCATCTTTCTCTTTGCTTTCTTCCACCTCAAACTACTTTTTCCTCCAAGAGCTCATTTACTGGGGACAAGATGAGGGGGCCTGGGGGGAGGGAGAAAGCGAAGGGAGAGGCCAACCAGAATTTTAATTTCCCACGCGCCAACATAATTACAGAGTAGATACAAACCCCTCCAAAGCTTTTGTGCTGCTTGATATGCATACATTATTTTCCTCGTCTTTTTGTCATCAGCCAACCATTTAACTAGCTTGCAGTCAGTTCCAAGGAAATTTATGTAGATTAGAAATCACCGACCTAAACTGAAGCCCCGAAGACATCTTACCTGTTACCACCTCGATAGATAATGTGTTTTAAAAAATTCACTCTCGCTATTGGACACCCACTGTCAGTGGCGCTGTCTGTCTTATCTCAAAGGCCTGTGAATTGGCCCAAATAGGAAGCATGGTGATTAGAAAGTCTCATCTCGGATTGTTCTGGAGTTTTTCGCCAACAAGGGCCCATCACTTTGGGAATTCACTCAGAAAAGTAGAAGGAAAGTATTAATAGCATTAAAAAAAAAATGCATTTAACTCAGCTGCATTTTCCTTTGCTATGATTAATTTCATTTCCCCTGGGAAATGTTACCCTTTGACGCTGTAGATGAATTAGAATTTTTCTCTCAGAATTATTAAAACATACCATTCCTAACAAGTCATGTGTTCCCTATGGCGATCTTTGATTTGTCTCACAGTTAAATGCAGTTAATATTGAACAAACAATCTGTTGTCATTATTAGTGTTTATTGTTAAGGCGACTTGAACACCAGTGATATTTTCTTTTTGGAGAAGGCTTTTTTTTTTTCTAACACATTCTGACCAGTGTTTTTTCTATGTATCAAAAATGATATGCTTGTCAATTTGAAGCCCAGCTCTGTCAAAGCAAAAATAAGAAGTGATACGACTGGGCTGGTAATCTGTGGCTTGAGCCCAAATGATGACTATTATGAGGTATAGTACACACAGGTATGGTGAGCTCATCTCTCAAACTGGCGGGGTGCCACTGCGAGGAAGCCACTTTATGACTAGGTGAGTGATCATATTAAGAGAGACAGGCTTAATAATGGGTGACCCACTATCAAAACCATTGACATAACAAATGTGTGTGTGAACACAGAGGGCAGATGTCTACCACTTAACCTTGTACCTGGTCAGTTCCCCAGGGGCACAGGTGTGGGTCTCAGAAGGCAGAGACGCTTTCGACTGCACTGCCTGTGTGGGAGGCAGTGTGGTGGTATCAGAATCTGGCAGCCATTGTGGGTTGCCTCTCCACCCCCAATCGCCATTTCCCTCCTTTTTGGGAAATGCAATTTCTTTGGGGCGGGGGCAGTGGCGCCAAGTTAGGGACTAAAATCATGATGGATTTTAGTCATGAATGGCAATATCATTCCTTTTTTTAAAAAAAATTTCTCACCTGAGCTGTGGGGCATGCAGCAGCTTAGTTCCTGGACCGGGGTTTGAACGTGTGCCTCGGCATTGGAAGCCCAGAGTTCTAACCACTGGACTGCCGGGGAAGTTCCTTGGCAATCTCATTCCTTTCGACAGGGTTTTCCTTTTCCAGTGCTCCCTGGAGTCAGGGTGGCTATGTATGTAAGGCCAATGCTATGGTGGGAGATATCTTCAGTTGGGCTTCTGGGAAAAACGTCTCCTATTTTTTTACCCAACTGATGTTGTATGAGCATATACTGCTTGGGCTGGTGGCCATTATCTTGTGATAACTAAGAATGAAAAGCTGGCCGAGGAGAAGGACCAAGTCAAGATAGAAAGAAATAAGGTGTTTGATGGTGTTGGGGAGCTGTGCACCCAGTCTGGCGTTCAGCACGTTTGGACTTCTTGTCACATTAGGTAAGGAAATGCTTTTATTGCTTAAGCCACCATGAACTGGGTTTTCTCTGTCAGTTGCTTGGAGCCAAATGAGTTTGACTTTGAAACGGAAAGAGACACTCTCACTTAAATTGTTGTTGTTTGGTCACTAGATCGTGCCCAGCTCTTTGTGACCTTGTGGACCATGGCCTGCCAGGCTCTTCTGACCATGGGATTTCCAGGTGAGAAGACTGGAGTGGGTTGCCCTTTCCTTCTCCAGGGGATCTTTCAGACTCAGGGATCGAACCCATATCTCCTGCCTTGACAGGTGGACTCGTTACCCCTGAACCACCTGCGAAGCCCCTCTCGCTTATATTTCCTCACAAAACATGGAGGCATTTCAGTACTTTATGGGCTCCAGCTGGAGAGGCAGCAGCATGCAGAGGGTGGTGGTGTCAGGTCAGAGCACACGCGGTACCCGGACTATGCAGAAGTACCAGTGGAGGCGGAGGTGCTCAGCGACTGTGGCAGCCAGTCTGGAGGTCCTAACAGAAGCGGCAGATGTGCCCGACTGAGGTCATGAGGAGTGAAAACCAGTAGATGCAATGGTGCCGAGTTGACAATGGGATGCCTCATGTTCAAGGAATAGAGCAGAAGATAGAAAAAAGCTACGGTACACGGTGGCTGACTGGATAGTGGATTTGACTTGTCTATGAGCAGCACATACACGTCATCTCTGGTACCTTACAGAGGATAACTTGCTGCAACATATACACCGAAAATGCATAATGGCTCAGACACAATAAGAATCTATATTTTGTTCACATACAGGCCAGTGGAGAGTGAATGGTTCTCCATATGTTGACTCAGGGGCCCAGGAGACTTCCATCTGGAGATTCTGCAGTTCCCTTGGACCTAGTTGTCATCTGCACCGAGCTGGTGGAGGAGGGAAAAAGGAGAGTATGGAGCAGAGACGCCTGCCTTCTTAAAAGCCCAGGTCCAGAAGGGGCACACTTCACAGTGAGAATGGGTTATGAGTTTCCACCTAGGTGCAAAAGGAGTGGGAACTGGGTTTTACAGGCTGGGCAGATGCTTTCCAGTTACAACTTTGTATTGAGAAATTGGAGACCATTCTGATAGGTAGTCTCTCCCATCCTGAATAGACATACTTGTTCAGGGGTGGAACTGGGGTGGGGTAGCTGATACTTCGCAGAGCCTTGGAGTTTCCTAAGTGGCTGGTGGGGTAAGCCAGTGACACATAGGTGACAAGACCAATGATTTATCCATTTATCTTCTAAGTGAAGGAGTGGCTTTTCTTCTCTCCCCCTTCCTTGAAATCATCTGCTTGCCTATATAACATTACTGATTAATTAAAAAAAAATCCTTTCTTTTGCCTAATTATTTTGGTCTGGTATGACCATAGTACTGAATTTCATTTCTGATTTAACTTAAACCATTATCAACAGTCTAAACTGTTAATACTTGCACCTACTAAGTCCTTTTATTTAAGAACAAAGCCCTTAAAAGCACTAAAAGCATGCAGTGTTTTTTTTTCTCTTTAAAGGATTTTGATGACTGCATGGCTTTTGACTACTAAGAAATGGAATTTCACTTCAAAATGAGTGTCAGACTTATTTTTCAAGTGCCTTGTCATAAATGCATTGCTATCCATGTAATAAAGTAATTTCCCCTTGTGTGACAAATATAACACTAAAGAAGAATGAGCCTTATCTGATAAAATGGCTTTTATTAATCCCCTAATGTTTTTATTTTGTTGTAGAATTATGAGTAGTTTCAAGAGAGTAGCAAATGGGTTACGATCAGAGTTGGATATTATTACTATCCAGATATCTTTGGTTAATGCCTGCTGTTTATTTCAAAAACAAAATGCTCCCATTAAGAAAAACCAATGATAATGGCCTGACTTTATTATCAAGAAATTATACCTGTTATGTAAACCTTGCTAATTATAAGCACTTGAATTCATTTGGGTGATATAACAGATGAAAAAGGCCATTTATTAGGAGGAATACTTGGCTTTTGTACCAGCATAATAAAACTGAAATAATAAAAAAACAATCTAAGGAAAGAAGAAATGTTAATGAGGAGTGGAATTTGCCCAGGAATGAATTATACAGGGAGACGACATAGAGTGTGGGATTAACACAGAGTACTTTGTCTTGGAAATGAGGGATTCCCCTTAGCCTAATTGAGCGGGTTGTCCTCATTTCCCCCTCTCCTCCTTCTCCCTAATTGTGGAGGACCTGATGCATGCACTGGCTCCCGCTTCTCCCTTATGGTGGAGGACCTGATGCATGCACTGGCTCCCGCTTCTCCCTTATGGTGGAGGACCTGATGCATGCACCGGCTCCCGCTTCTCCCTAATTGTGGAGGACCTGATGCATGCACCGGCTCCCGCTTCTCCTGGCTCCTTGAGCGGGTTGTCCTCATTTCCCCCTCTCCTCCTTCTCCCTTATGGTGGAGGACCTGATGCATGCACTGGCTCCCGCTTCTCCCTAATTGTGGAGGACCTGATGCATGCACCGGCTCCCGCTTCTCCTGGCTCCTTGAGCGGGTTGTCCTCATTTCCCCCTCTCCTCCTTCTCCCTAATTGTGGAGGACCTGATGCATGCACCGGCTCCCGCTTCTCCTGGCTCCTAACTCCTCACAGACTCAGCTCTGTTTATGGTCCAGGGTCCTGTGACCACCCCCACCTGGCTGTCCTGTGCAAACAGAATTGATCTCTTGTCCTCTTCTCGTATTAACTTCTGAGCGGGGTGGAGTCGCATTACGATGCCGTGCTCCTTTCTGCTGCACCAAGAAGCGAACCCGCCACACGCACACATCCAGCCCCGCCCTCTTGGCCCCCGCCCCCCACCCCGCCCCTCTAGGTCTCCAGAGGGCACCGGCTGAGCGCCCTCTTCGGCGGGTTCCCACTAGCCGCCTGTTTTACGCCTCAGTCCCGATCTCCCAGTTCCTCCCACCCGCGTCCTCTGCTCCGTGTCCACATGTGTTGTCCTCTTCTTGAATCATCTGCCCCAACCTGTGTATCACAGTGTCGCCCTTGACTCCCCCCTCCCTCATACCACGTATCCAATAAATCACCTCCTCTTGTTTCCAGCCAGACACCTCTCTCTCAAATCCAGCTTCTGCACTCACCGGCACTGCCCTCGCCCAGGCCGTCGCCATTTCCGGTTTTGATGATTATAAACTGTATGTGTGCGCCAGGTGCGTGCTCAGTTGCTAAGTTGTATCCGGCTCTTTGTGACCCCCATGGACTGTGGCCCAGCAGGCTCCTCTGTCCGATGGATTCTGCAGGCAAGAGTACTGGAGTGGGGAAGATGTACAGACGGCAGACACATGAAAAGACGCTCCGCATCGCTCATGATTAGAGAAATGCAAATCAAAACCACAATGAGATATCACCGCCCACTGGTCAGAATGGCCATCCTCAAAAAGTCTACAAACAATAAACGCTGGAGAGGGTGTGAAGGAAAGGGAATGCTCTTGCATTGTTGGTGGGAATGTAAATGATGGAAGATGGTACGGAGATTCCCTAAAAAGCTAGGAATAAAACCACTATATGACCCAGCAGTCCCACTCCTAGACATATACCCTAAGGAAACCAAAATCGAAAGAGACACACGTATCCCATTGTTCATTGCAGCACTGTTTACAATAGCTAGAACATGGGAGCAACCTAGATGTCCATCCACAGATGAGTGGATAAAGCAGTTGTGGTACATACACACAGTGCAATATTACTCAGCCACAAAAAGGAACACATTTGAGTCAGTTTTAACGAGGTGGATGAACCTAGAACCTATTATGCAGAGTGAAGTAAGTCAGAAAGTGAAAGATAAATATCGTATTCTAACACATATATCTGGAATCTAGAAAACTGGTACTGAAGAATTTATTTACAGGGCAGCAATGGAGAAACAGACATAGAGAATAGACTCATGGACATGGGGAGAGGGGAGGAGAGGGTGAGATGTGTGGAAAGAGTAACGTGGAAACTTGTATGACCATGTGTAAAATAGACAGCCAACGGGAATCTGCTGTGTGTCTCAGGAAACTCAATCAGAGGCTCTGTATCAACCTAGAGGGGTGGGATGGGGAGGCAGATGGGAGGGAGGTTCAAAAGGGAGAGGATAAATGTATACCTATGGCTGATTCACGCTGAGGTTTGACAGAAAACAGCAAAATTCTGTAAAGCAATTATCCTTCCATTAAAAAAAAAAAGAATACTGGAGTGGTTGCCATTTCCTCCTCCAGGGGATCTTCCCGACCCTGGGATTGAACCCATGTCTCCTGCATATCCTGCATTGCAGGCAGATTCTTTACCACTGAGCCACCTTGGAAGCCCTATATTGAACCATATTTAGGATGTAATCATTAAAGCAATTTGATTTCTATCTTCTGTAGTCCTTTTATTTTTAAATTGTTCCTTCAACTTTTTATTTGGAAATATTTCAAATCTACAGAAAAATGGGAATCCTAGAGCAATGAATAGATGCATAAGCTTTGTCTTCCAGGTTCATCCCGCGTTAGTACTTCACTGCATCCCTCTCTCTCTCAGTTCATTCCCCGTGTCTCTGCACAGAACCGAGCCCCGCTTGGGCTCCCGAGGGCTTTGCGGCTTGGGATGGGCATGGCCCTCTGTTGCTGCTGGTCTGACTCTGAGAGTAAGTAAAAGGTATTTTAGGCAGCAGTGGAGGGAGACAGCAGAAGAGAAGGGATCAGTCGATGAAGGATGTTTCGAGCCTTGGCGAACCAGCTGCTCCTGCTTGGGAATCTGGGTGTCATGAGGCCATTCTCCCAGGCTGGCCCTCAGAGTCTGAGGCCATGGGCAGCCGTGGCAGGGTCAGGACACCTGCCTCAAGGGGCTCTTTGACAGTGGACATTTGGAGCAGGGGGATATGAACAGACTTCTGTCTGAGCATAACAACAAGCGGAGAGTCTCAGAATGGGTGAGGTTTTGCAGTGGCAGCTGCATAGCCTAATAACACCAGGCTAGGAAACAGCAACGTGTGGGTGGTGTTGTTACTGTGACCTCATAGGCTGGTGCGGTTTGCAGACATCCGGGTTACTCAGGGACAGAAATACAGATGTTTAAAGAAAGCTGCACATTTCCTTTTCCCTACAGTTCCCCATGCCCCTAATTGTGGAGAAACAGTTTCTCAACTGCCTACCTTTCCAGTCTTTCCTGTTGATTGCATCCATGGGATATAGACACATGTGACAATCTGCCTCTTTGGCCAGTTGATTCTCAAAGCCATTGAGGACTATTAGCTTTGATTTTATTTTGACAGAAGTAAAGTGTTTTAAAAAATAGTTATTTATTTCTTTGGCTGTCGTGGGGTCTCCCTTGTGGCATGCAGGATCTTCAGGCTTCACTGTGGCATGCGGTAGCATGCGAGATCTTCAGTTGCTCATGTGGGATCAAGTTCCTTGACTAGAGGTTGAACCCAGGCCCCCTGCACTGGGAGAGTGGAGTCTTAGCCATTGGACCACCAGGGGGAGTCCCAGGACCTTTGTAGTTTAAAGACCTTATGTCCTCAATTTTTTACAACTTCACAGCACGGAGTAAGCTCTTGAGCCACTGTTACAGGTTTCATTTGTAGGTGGTGTTGTGCAGTGGGTTCCCAGTTTTCCTCTGGCTCTTGTGCTAGCTCTTTCATCATATAAGCTTCTCTTAAGGTTTTTCCTTTGGGCAAGCTCATTGATGAGCACTGTAATACTGGCTTGATTTAAATTTCAACCATAGAAAAAGGGAGATAGAAATTTAAAGCTATTTTCTACTCAGTCAATTAGGCACAGTTCTGAGGCTTGTATGAATAGTGACAAGTCCTATGATAGATGACACGAGATTATAATGTTAATGGCTTAAAAAATAACAAATCTCTATTATGGTTTATAGTTTGTTTTCCCTGAAGTTGTATCTATTAGTCCCTGACTGATGTGATTTGTGTGAAATAGTGCACATGAAAATAAAGATTAGAGTTATTTGCTTTTCCTTATCCTTATTATGCAGTGATACACAGAGGTATTATTTGGTAATGATTTAAAAAACCATGTTTTTTTAAATTCCTATTTAAAATTTTTCCTATAACAGTAAGATTGATAACTCACTGATTTTTAAAAATTTGTGTTTCAGGATTGTGCATGACAATATCTATCATCAAGTCCTATTGATTTCACCCTACATCTCTTGAACCTGTCCACTTTTGTCCACCTCTACTACCACATTTTCTAGCCTGCATTATTCTAAGTCCTCTATTTATTTGAGGTAAAAGCACAGTCATCTACAAGAGTGCCCTCAGCTTCAAGCACCAGCTGCAAATTTGGAGGTCCACGGCCATTTCTCACCATGCTCTGGTGTTTTTATCAAGGTGTCATACATAGGTATGGTTGATTTAATCACTGACATGTGGCTAAATCTCCAGTCTCCCTTCCCTACCTAGAGATTGGGCTAACATCATGTGTTTTAAAGCTCAACCCTCTAATCACACAGTTGGTTCTTTCTGGTATGGCCAGCCCCCATTCTCAGTCACTTTAGAGGTCCACCGGGAATCACTTTGTTAGCATAAACAGTCACGTGTGGTCTGATGGACCCACCATGAGTAACAAAGACACTCCTATCATCAGGAAATTCTGAAGATTTAGGAGGCCACCTCCTAGAAACTGGGGACAAAAGCCAGCAAAAGTCTTTTATTATTTACTACCTACTTCGGCCTCCTTCTAATCTATTAAGTGTTTATCTGGTACCCTGGAAGGTGGCTCTAAGGGGAATGGAAAAAACAGACCACTAGGAACTGCAATCTTGAGAGCCCCAAGAGATCTGGTGCTCTTGACTGAACTTGGCACAAAGCATTCTTTGAAGAAGCTGCCTATGCAGAAATCTGTATTCACAAAAATCTTATTGTAGCAGTGGGCTAGCAACAGCTAGCAAAATATGTAGGATCTTTTTTTTCAGTAAGACGACTGTATTACAACGAGAAACAATGGAAGTAGTGACTTGATTAGACCCAGTTCCCGTTCTGCTAGGATGAGGGCAGCAGACTGAACCCCAGTTCTCTTGGATGCTACAGGTCCTTGCAGTTCCCGAGCAATTTGACTGGAATGAAGGAAAATCTGAAGAAGATTATGAATTTCTTACTAATAGGCAGGTGGGAAAATGGAGCAATTAGAAAAGTAGAAGAGCTGTAACTAAATTTATACCTAAGTCTATGGAATAAGCCATGTTAATTCTTTTCAAAAAAATTTATTTGTATTTGTTTGGTTTTATTTTTGGCCACACAGGGTCTTCGTTGCCTTGCACTGGCCTCTCATTGCTGCGGCTTTTCTCGTTGCGGAGCGTGGGGTCTAGGTTTGTCAGCCTCGGTAGTTGTAGCAATGGGTTCAGGAGCTCTGACACGTGGGCTTGGTTGCTCCACGGCATGTGGGATCCTCCCGGAACTGAGGTCAAACCTGCGTCCGCTGAATGGGCAGGCAGGCTCTCAACCACTGGGACACCAGGGAAGTCCCCATATTAACTTTTTCACAGTCTTTATTTGAAAGTCTATTTTATCTGATATGAGTATTGCGACTCCTGCTTTCTTTTGGTCTCCGTTTGCGTGGAATATTTTTTTCCAGCCCTTCACTTTTAGTCTGTATGTGTCCCTTGCTTTGAGGTGGGTCTCTTGTAGACAGCATATATAGGGGTCTTGCTTTTTTATCCATTCAGCCAGCCTTTGTCTTTTGGTTGGGGCATTCAACCCATTTACATTTAAGGTAATTATTGATAGGTATGGTCCCGTTGCCATTTATTTTGTTGTTTGGGGTTCACGTTTATACCACCTTT